ATTTCCTCGACGCCACAAGGGGTGCGCTGGGGGTGGGGGCCCACCGCGGCTTCTGGACGCGCCAATGTCGCAGGGCCTAGCAGGAGTGATATTTCCTCGACGCCACAAGGAGTGCGCTGGGGGTGGGGGCCCACCGCGGTCTGTATACGCGCCGATGTCGCAGGGCCTCGCAGGTGTGCCACTTTCTCGACACCGGAGGGGTGCGTTGCAAGCTCCCAGGGCGTGGCAGGCGTGGCACGTTCTCGACGCCTCTGGGGGTGCGCTGGGGGTGGGGGCCCACCGCGGTCTCTATACGCGCCAATGTCGAAGGGCCTGGCAGGCGTGGCTTTTGCTCGACGCCACAAGGGGTGCGCTGGGGGTGGGGGCCCTATGCGCTGCAGGTTCCCAGGGCGTGGCACGCGTGGCATTTCCTCGACGCCACAAGGGGTGCGCTGGGGGTGGGGGCCCTATGCGCTGCAGGCTGCCACGGCGTGGCAGGCGTGGCATTTCCTCGACGCCACAGGGGGTGCGCTGGGGGTGGGGGCCCTATGCGTTGCAGGCTCCCACGGCGTGGCAGGCGTGGCATGTCCACGACGCCACAAGGGATGCTCTGGGTGGGAGGAGGAGGAGGAGGAGGAGGAGGAGGAGGAGGAGGAGGAGGAGGAGGAGGAGGAGGAGAGGAGGAGGGAGGAGGAGGAGGAGGAGGAGGAGGAGGAGGAGGAGGACGGGGAGGTGGGGCAGCAGCAGCGGCAGCAGCAGCAGCAGCTGCAGCAGCAGACGCAGCAGCAGCAGCAGAAGCAGCAGCAGCAGCAGAAGCAGCAGCAGCAGGAGGACACCGAGGAGGGGAAGGAGGAGCAGCAGCAGAAGCAACGATGGTACACATGGGAAATAAAATAAGTATGTGGGATTCCTCGGTAGCGTATTGTTTGCATGTTTTTTTTCGGATTATCTCTCAAGACGGCCCAAGAGCGCTCCAAGAGAGCCCAAGACCGCCCAAGACGGCCCAAGAGGCCCCCAAGAGGCGCCCAAGGGGCGTCCCAAGAGGGCCCCAAGATGCCAAAATCATTGACTTTCCAAAAAGGAAAACGTAGATGTTTAGCATATACGGCTGTTCGCCTTTCACGGCGTTGACGACGACCCAAGAGGCCCCCAAGACCGCCCCAAGACCGCCCAAGACGCTCCCAAGAGGCTCCCCAAACCGGCCCCAGAGGGCCGTCCCAACAGGCCTCCAGGAGGCCAAAATTATCTATCTTCCAAAAAAAACGTACATGTTTAGCATACACGGTTTTGCGGCTTTCACGGCGTTGAAGACGGTCCAAGAGGCCCCCAAGACCGCCCCAAGACGGTCCAAGATGCCCCCCAAACGGCCCAAGAGGGCGCCAAGACGGCCCAAGAAGCGCCCAAGACGTCCCAAGAGGGCCCGAAGACGGCCCCACGAGGGGGACCACGAACCCGAAAGTCTAGCCTTTCGCCCTAGGACGCTCCCAGGAGGCCCCCACAGACCCCCAAGAAGCCCCAATAGGCCCCCAAGAGGCCCCCGAAAGGGCTCTACAAGGGCCCCAATAGGACTCCCACGAAGGCCCAGAGACGCCAAATAAAGAGCGATCGGTAATGCAAAAAGCTCTCCACACCAAGGCTCCCAAGAGCGAACGGTGACGTGGCTCCCAGAGAGCGGTGACGTAACAAGTTCCTGACACCAAGGCCCAGCCAAGGCTGAGGAACGGGCGAGGTACGGGTGATGACGTTCTGGTGTGGGCGAAGCCCTAACGGGAGGGGTTCCAGGGGAGGGGGGGAATGAGTGTTAATGGCCGTTTTCGGGTTTTCCCTAGGGTTCTTGCATGTGTTTCGGGTTCCCCCCAAGACGGCCCAAGAGCGCTCCAAGAGAGCCCAAGACCGCCCAAGACGGCCCAAGATGCCCCAAAGAGGCCCCCAAGAGGCCCCCAAGAGGCGCCCAAGTGGCGTCCCAAGAGGCCCCCAAGAGGCCAAAACCATTGATTTGTCCATTGACTACCTACCAGACCACCCCAACCCAACCCGAAGACCCGAATTTCGGGTTGGGGGGGGTAAGGGTCCCACATGTGTTTTTTCGATGTTTCCCGACCCCCCCCAACTGGAAATCGAGGGTAAATCTGAGCCTTCGGGTTGGGTTGGGGTGGTTTGGAGGGTGGTGATCCATAGGAACACTTACGTTTTTAGCATATACGGCTTTTCAGCTTTTACGGCGTTGCCGACGGCCCAAGAGGCCCCCAAGACCGTCCCAAGACGGCCCAAGACGCCCCCAAGAGGCCCCCAAAACGCCCAAAGAGGGCGCCAAGACGGCCCAAGAGGCGCCCAAGAGGGCCCCAAGACGGCCCCAAGAGGGGGACCACGAACCGAAAAGTCTAGCTTGTCGCTCCAAGACGCTCAAAGAGGGCCCAAAAGCCCTCCAAGCCCCAAGAGGCCACTAAGAGGCGTCCCAAGAGGCCTCCAGGGGGCCAAGACCATTGATTGTCTATCGGGAAAATACCTTTTTAGCATGCACGGCTTTTCGGCTTTGACGGCGTTGAAGACAATCTACGAATCCCCAAAGACCGCCCCAAGACGGCCCAAAAGGCTCCCAAGAGTCCCCCAAAACGGCCCAAGAGGGCGCCAAGGCGGCCCAAGAGGCGCCTAAGACTGCCCAAGAGAGCCCCAAGACGGCCCCAAGAGGGGGACCACGAACCGAAAAGTCTAGCCTTTCGCCCCAAGAAGCTCCCAGGAGGCCCCCAGAGCGCCCCAAGAAGCACCAAGAGGCCCCCAAGAGGTTCCCAAAAGGCCTCCAAGAGGGCTCTACAGGGGCCCCAATAGGACTTCCAAGAAGGCCAAGAGACGCCAAATAAAGAGCGATCGATAACGCAAAAGGCTCTTCACACCAAGGCTCCCAAGAGCGAACGGTGACGTAAACAAGCTGATAAGACCAAGGCTCCCAGCAGAGAGCGGTGACGTAACAAGTTCCTGACACCAAGGCCCAGCCAAGGCTGAGGAGCGGGCGGCAACGAAACAATCTCTGAACACCAAGGCTCCCAAGAGCGAGGGGTGACGTAATAAGCTCTCAAGGCCAAGGCTCCCAATACGAACGGCGGTGTGAGTAATTCCGGTGTCTGTTTCTGAAGCGCGCTTTCCGTTTCTGTGCCGGGCCAGGTCAACTGGCCGCCGTGGGCGACGCGCCAACACCTCCCAAGCTGCACCGACGACCAGAAACTGAAGTTGTCAGGTTCCTGCGCTCGGGGATGGACAGACCTCCCTTTAGTAAAACGTGGTTTAGTGAAAACGACTTCGGGCCCAAACCTGGCGGGCGCAGGCCTGGAAAATAACGGCCGCGGCGCCCTCTCGAGGACCGAAAACGGACCATTCACTAATCGACGTGTCACTGTTGGGGGTTCTGTCCACCCGCGATGCGCGCAGATCTATAGAGAGAGAGAGAGAGGCAGGGGGCCTGCCCCAGGAACCTCGGGCGGGGGCTACGTTCGACGAACCCGGTAGCCGTCAGGAATCAGTGAATCGGGCGGAGGGGGACCGAGAGGCGGAGGAGGAAGGAGAGGGAGACAAGGAATGAGGAGGGCCCTCGTGGTTCAGGCGGTTCGTCCGTCTCCTGGACGGCATGTCGACTAGCTGAGGTACGAGGCTGTGCTCTCTGTCTTTGTTCTGCTTTGGCCGTGGCTGGACAGGACTCGACAATATGGAAATATTGAAATGAGGATGGGGAAGGGAGGAGGGCGGAAAACCGAGGAGGGAGGGAGGAAGTGGAGAAGAGGAGGGGAATGGGAGGAAGGCGCGAAGAGGGCGACTGTATGGAGGAGGCAGTAGAAGTGGAGAGTAGAGAGGAGGGGGAGGGGGGAAGGGAAGAGGGAGCGGACGAGGGGGCGGAGGATGGTGACGATCGCACACACACACACACATCATGAGGGTGAATCTGAGGAGGGGAGGCACGATGATGAGCAGGAGGGGGAGAAGGAGGAACGAAGATGAGCAGGAGGGGGAGAAGCAGCAGCAGCACCAACAGTTGAACAAACATCCGCATGAGATCGTGGGAAGAGCCATCGGCTGGTGGGGAGGAGGGGAGAGGCGTGCAGGATGGACGGGCGAAGGAGAGCGAGGAGGAAGAGCAGAAGCAGCCCTTGCGATGAGCATCGAAACAGTCCTCCGAGGCTGTGAGCAGGCGGGAGGGAAAACGGGTGGCGGCGGCCGGGCGCCGCTGCGTGACACGGCCCACCGCTGCGTTCCTGCCGCGGGTCCCCGGCGGACGTGTCGGGCAACGGGCAGCCGAGGCCGGAGATGGGCGGCGGCAGAACAACGAGCAGCGTTAGCGCCAAAGGCCTGTCGCTCCCTCTCTCTCTCTCTCTGTATACATTTTCATATGCATATGCACGTGGATGTATACAAACATGTATACATATATGTATGTTGGTGTGGACGTATGAACAACGTCGTAGATGCAGCAACGCATGCATACAATTTAGAGATACGTATGTATACCGTCATGCGCGCGTGAACAGACTCAACTCTCACAGTATACTATTACGCTAGCAGAATGAGGGGGCCGAACGGTCATTCACTATCCCTGGGTGCGTGGCTGACGTGAAATTCAAGGGCGCGGACTCTGCTGGTTACGTGCTGTCGTCGTCCAACCCGCGCCCCGCCCCGCGGCCCACACTGCGACGCACCTCACGACCAACCCACATTACTTTGAAACAAATTCGGCACCTGCGGCGGATGAGTTGTGTAAGTTGTAAAAAAAATGGTGCCTGCGGCGGGCTTCTTCAGAGCCTGGTAAATCGCCGACGACCCCGCCGCCGGCCAACTCGTATCCGCAACTGCAGGAGCTGTGGTCTGTCTCGCTTTTTTTTTCTTTTCTCTCTCTCTCTCTCTCTTCATTTGTTCTCACATTCTCTGTTTATCTCTGTCTCTCTCTCTCTCTCTTTCTCTCGATGCACGCCTCTCTCACTCCCTCGTTCACACGATGATTGTCTTTGCGTTTCCTCTCTCTCCCTCCCTCCCCCTCCCCCCCTCTCAAGCAGCCCGCCACGCGGCCCCCCTCTGCGGGAGGTACGCGGTCGTGTCGAGGGAACCCCACGTGGACGCCTCCCCCGCGCCGCAGCTGGGCGGGGACACGGCAAGCTCATCAGAGGGGCTCAGGGGAAGAGCGGATTAGACGGGGGACTGGCGCAGTGGGGGAATCATCGACCTCGACCCGGCGATGCACTGCCGAGAGCTCCGCGAGGGGCTCCGCTGGCGAATCCGGAGGCTCGTGTGTGGGCCAGGCGAATCGTCGGGCCCCCTATCTTGGACGCCCGAGTTATCCGGGGTAACTCGGGTTCGGGTTCCCGAAAAGCGAACCCGAGTTGGCCCTGACCCGAGTTGCCCCTGATGATTCGGGGCTCTGACTGTCGGCGATCACGGGGCGGTCGGGGGCCCCGGCGTCCCCCCCCCCGGAACCCACCCATTCCCCAATCGTGGCCCTTGGCTTCCGGGCCACAGCTCGGCTCTTCGACGGCCACACCTGGTAACCCACCTTATCAGGCAGAATGGGCACTCCCCAGAAAGCAGGAAGGACTTCCTGGCTATGGACCGCCTTCTTACAAGCTGCCCATCCCCAGCTGTTTCAGGACCTCGGCAAAGACCCCAACAACTATGGACGGCATCACCTCATCAGCTTCCTTGCCGCGCAGGGGATTCAGGACCTAAGGTCTCCTTCGCTGCAACACTACATTGAAGGGGAACTGGAACACACAAATAAATACACACTAATAAAAACAAATCCGCATGTTTTCTCATATGTTCTGGGTTTTTGTCTGCCCCCCCACTTCCCATATTTTCCCACATTTTCTGGGGAATGGAGGATTAATTGTGTCTGTGTGTTTCTTTTCCTCCTGAGATTCAGGGTGCCTCGGGCACTTCCTGAACGTCCTCGGCGAACGCGCAGCTGCTGGGGAGCATCCCGAGACCAAACAAAACGCACAGAACTCGCGAACAGAGGAAAACCGCCGGACAACCACCGCAGAGCCAGACGCCGCCAGAAACCCCGAGCCCGAAGCTCCCCTCTCCCCTGAGCCCAGCCCCCCCTCCCGAGGTTGCCCCTGAGCAGGAGGAGACTTCCACGAGAGAGAGCTCGGAGAACGCCCCGCGCGCCGCCGCTGTCAGGAAGGTCCCCCGCTTCCTGCGGAGACCCCTGCGGCGCCGGCCGGCGTCCTCGCCACCCGCTCCCGGGAAGGAAGCAGGAGACGGAACAGGACAAGCTGAGGCAACTGGAGGGGCCCTGGGACACAAAAAAAAACACACACAAACAAAACTATTCCCCATATCTTTCCATATGGTTTGGATCTTCGTCTTCCCCCCCACTTCCCATTTTTTATATATATATATATATATATATTATATATATATATATATATATATATTCTGGGGGATCGACGATCAATAGTGTCTGTGTGTGTTTTTTTCCCTCCTGAACAGCGGCAGCTCGACCCCGGGGGCCACAAAAGCGTGTGGTGACCGCGCGGCGACCTCTGAGCCCCAGGAGACCTCGCTCGGAGGCCCTGGTCGCTCGAGACGGCCTCGTGCGGTGACCCCGAATCGCCACGGACCCACCACGCGGCGCGGTCACCACGCCGCTCGAGGCACCCCGATCGAAGCCGCTCCCTATAGAGGAAAGAGAACTATGCACATGCACCGAATCTGGCCAGACCCATCCTGAGCCCATGATCGGTGCATACGCCCTCCTGCCTTGGCCAGGAAGGCATATGCACCGATCCTGGGTCAAGGATGGGCCTTGCCAGGATCGGTGCATGTGCATAATTCTCTTCGCCCGACCCTATGGACCCCTCCTGGGGTCCGAAAACGCATCCGCTTCCCAAGCTGCGCCCAGCCACAACAAGGAGGCCCCCCCCCCCACCCGAGGGCCAACCTCGAGCCCCCCCATTCCATGGCCTCCCCCCCAGGGGGGGAAAAATTCTCGAGGGTAAAACAAAAACAAAACCTCCAAGAGAGCGGTGCAGCTCGCACGTGGGAGCAGGACGTCCGGGATTGGCACGGATGCTGAAGGCATTCTGCGCCGTGCCCCCCCCCCGCCCTTCCCTCCTCCTCCTCCTGCTCCTGCTCCTCCTCCTGCTCCTCCTCCTCCTCCTCGGGACATAAACGTGCTTCCCGCACTCCCCTGCCGCCCGCCCGAGGGGGAACAAGAAAAAGCTCCAAGGGGGCGGGGGAAAACTAAAAGCTTCGAGGGGGGGGCGGGGGGAAAGCCAAGCACTACGAACTGCTCTTAGCCGCATCGAGGATATGTGCCTGACAAGGTTAGAGAAAACCCATAATCAAGGCGGCTTAGGCTGCGTTGGGCAGGACTCGGCCATATTCGTGCAGACGCGCAGAAGAAATGACAAGGCCGAGCGGCTATTCCGCATCTCGGGACGTGTGCCCATCGGCAGAGAAACAAACAAAAGCATAGACATCAAATTTCGGAGGTCTGCGCGAATTTGCTGGATCGGCGGTTGACCACCCTCCCCATGGCGCCGGGGGTGGTGCCGGAGGCGTCGCCACTTGAGCCCAGCGCAGGTTCAGAAAAATCTGCGCAGCACGCCGAAAATTTATGTTGACGCCGTTTGTTCTTCGGATAAGATGGGGTAGGTTTGTGGATGCCATGACAATGGACACTCTAACAGTCCTATCATGAACTAAACATGTGTTTAAAACGTCGGAAACATGTCCTGGAGATGTTTAAAACATGCTGTTTACATGTTTGAAGCAGTTTTAACACATGTTATTTGGCAACATGCCTCCTCTCCATTGATCGTCCTCCACAAGAGCAGGTGGACTGGATGGGCGGGCCGGCATCGAAACAGCCGCGCGGAGGCCGTCGAAGAGCGCGCGCCCCGCGGCCGGGCCGAGGTCAGCTGCACGCAGCAGCTCTCGCCACCCGGGAGGCTGCTCTTGGGAGGTTGCCGCCCGAACGATGCAAGGTTAGGAGGCAACTACTGAGAGGCTTCCGTCGGAAAGAGTACGGAGGATTAGGCCCCATTTGGGAGCTGTTACGCCGGAGTGGGCCTCGGATGAAGCGGGATTAGGCCGCATTGAGCGGGATTAAGCGGGATTAAGCCAGACTTCGGACCAGTGCACAATCAGAATTTGACCTCCCAGGAGTCACATCCCAAGCAAGGGCGGTTCAACTTGATTCACAAAACCCACAAGTCGGACGGATCCGGCCGAATGTAGCGGGATTGGGCAGAACTAGCGTGGATTACTAGGACCGCCGCGGGGCGGTGCTCATAGGGGGTTGCTAAGATGGATTCTACCCGGCCTAACCCAGCTCAGAGGTGGGTTGCACGGGCAGGACCCACTTAGGGGAATTACCCCATCATCATAAGCCACGTAAGACACTTGCAGCCCACTTATACGTTGGATTAGGTCCGTCAAAACCCCATTCTGGCATCCGCTTCGAACACCCCCCATGCCCTTGGCAACCACCGCGGCGATCCAGGCAGCACTGTTTTCGACCAAAGCAGCGAAAACAAAAAACAAACACATACTCTCCAAGGCCGGAAAATAACTAAACACCTCCCGCCGTGCTTTTTTCACGACGAGTAGTTCTCCACGACCACCCCGTGAAGGTCTGCACGATCTGAGCGGCCCCGTCCTCGCCCTCGCCCTGCTGCCTCCTCCTCCTCCTCCTCCTCCTCCTCCTCCCCCTCCCTCCTCCTCATCCCTCCCTCCCTCCCTCCCTCCCTCCCTCCCTCCCTCTCCCTCCCTCTCCTCCTCCTCCCCCTCCGCCTCCTCTTTCCTCCTCCTCCGCCTCCTCCTCCTCCTCCTCCGCCTCCTCCTCCTCCTCCTCCTCCTCCTCCTCCTCCTCCGCCTCCTCCTCCTCCTCCTCCTCCCCTCGCCTCCGTGCCCTGTTCTGCTGCGGCGCGCCCCGCCTTCGGCCCGACCCCCGCGCCCGAACGCTTCCGCACCTTTGCGCGCCTGCCAGCCTTTGTTCAGGGTGTCTTTCACACCGCGAGGGGGTCTGGGCAGAGGGTAGCTTTTAGCGAGCCCACACAAGACGTACGCGCCCAGCTATGTACATGAACACGGCCCCTTGACCCGCGAGACCGGCCGCGTGTTACGAAAATTCGCCTAATGCGAAATCTCGAAAACACCGTGGATTCATGTACGTGTACGTCCTTCTTTCGCTCCTGAGCTTTGGACGCCTGAAATGGGTACGGAAAGAATGGGTACAATGCCCAACAACAAACAGTGTCCCAAACCAAGAGCGGCCGCTGTTGGGCAGGCGGCCCTCTGTCCCGAATGGGCACAGGCCGCGGCGGCGCGGACAGCGAATCCTGTTCAGAACGAGCAGGAACTGCTGTTGGGCATTGTACCCATTCTTTCCGTACCCATTTCGGGCGTGGTAGCGAGGAGGGGCCGGTGGGGGAAAGCGGCGAGGGGGAGGGGCCGCAGAGGCACACACGTGGCACCTCTGCGTGCTCGTGCTGAAGGCGCGCGCGCCCGACACGAGCGTGCAGTGCACAGGCCTCGCGGTACGGTCGCTGCCCGAGTGGCACGGCGCCAGGCATCACGTGCCAAGGGTGGACCTTGCACCAGCAGGTGACCGAGCGGGCGCGTCGCCCATTGCGGGGCCGACGCACACATGGGGCGACAGCGACGACCCTGAACCCGGAAACCTGGCCGTCGCTCGGACGTCCGTTCCCTGGTGTTTTTTCGGTGTCGTGCGTGGCTTCTTCGCCAAAAGCTCAGGGATGCTCCTCGATAGTCCTCGCCGGAGGAAGAACGCACACGTCCGAGCGATGCTAAGTCCCATCTCTTCGGAGGCACGTCTCTTACGTCCGCCGCCTCCTGCCGAATGTCCGCCGCCTTCCGCCGAGGAAGAGATGGTACCTCCTCCGATCCTCGAAGGCCAGGCCTCTTTTGGAGCGCCCCACATAGCTACAAGTAAGAAGTTAAGAGTATACTTGGGCGGTTGGATGCTCATTCTTGGGACCTTCCTGGTGACACTCGCTTCACTCGTGCGTCGAAAGTGCGTCGAACGTCCGTCGATTTGAATCGGCCCTGAATCGATCCTGAGTCGAACTTGAATCGAACCTGATCCGAACTGGGGTCGACTCGGTGTCGAACTAGACTGGAGCCGAACAGATCCGTTAGGTGGGCCCCGGGAGGGTCCCCCAAACGAGCATCTAACGCGTATGCTTGGATGGCAGGGCTCGAGTGAAACAGTGATTTCCCTTTTTGTTCGTTTTGTTTTCGTCATCCCCAGTTCTGTTTTTTCGTTCCACCTCTGCTGCAAAACGCAGCCAAAACGAAAACGGTCCACGAAATTGCCAAAAGACAGTTTAGCTCAAGCCCTGCTGGGTGGTACCCAGATGGGAGTGACAAGGAGGCCCTGGCCCCGCGAGGCCCCTCCAGCGCTGCCGGCTTCACCACGATGGGCCCGGGCCTCTGCGCCGCCGCCTCGGGCCCGCCTGCGGGCGGCGCCGCGGCTGCCGTCGTCGCCGAGCCTTTCTCGTCGGGAGCGGCCAAGGAGGGGGGGGTCCAAGAAGGGGGGGGTGCAGATCATGACCGGCGGCATGTGCGCGGCCCCGCGGGGGGCCAGGCCACGCATTGGAATAAGAAGAGGCGCCATGAAATCTGGGGAGATATCATGGCCCCCGCCATGATATCCCCCCCCCCTAGTCATCAGCCCCCTCTTTTCCGCCCCCGAGCTCGGCCTCATGGAGGAGCTCGGGGATCTACTGACCCGGGGCAATCCAAACCTGGGTCAGTCAGGTTCTGCAGGATCCTGCAAGATGCTGCAGTGCCCTGCGGGATCCTGTGCCGGGGCCCAGATCGATGCACCCCTTGCGCTGCAGGATCCTGCAGGATCCAGCGCTCTGACCGGCCCATGTCTGCATTGACCCCGCTTCCTGAGCCCGGAGGAGCGCCCTGGGTGGCCATGGCCGCACGCGCCTCCAGGTCCTGGCCAGCACGCAAACCAGTAGAGCTCGGGTTCGTCGTCGTCGTGTCGTCGCCGCCGTCGTCGACGCCGTCGTCGTCGTCGTCGTCGCCGCCGCCGAGGTCGTGCTCGTCGTCGTGGCCGTCGTCGTGGCCGTGGTCGTCGTCGTCGAGTTACCGCGGACGTGGCAGGCAGGCTAGGCGCGGAACGGCAGCGGCGGGCGGCGGGGGGGGTCCCAGGGCCACACTCCTCAAGGGAGACCTATCAGAGTGAGAGACATATCACCGTGAGGAGACATCTCAGAGTGAGGGGTGCGTGGCTGCAGGAATTTCCGCGGTGCGGATTGCTGTTGGTGTTGTTATGGTGGGAATCAAATTTTTAATCAGTAAATGTTGATCCCCTCAAGTATCAATCGCATTTGTCCATTTAAGTGCCACCAAACTGCGATGTTGGGCCCCGAACTACAAAAACAATTGCTCCCGCCTGGTAGTTCCGCGCAAGTTATTGCAAGATCGCGCTGTCGCTCAGGACTTCCTCACAAAATATGAGGAATTCGCGCTTTCGCCTGGGACGTCCTCGAATTTCTTCAGACGCCACACCCTCGACACGCATGAATTACGCTCTCGCTCTGGTTGTTTCACTATTCCTTGGGGATCGCGCTGTCGTTGGAAACTCCCTCGCGATTCATGCAACACTCACGCTTCAGCAACACGCCTTCTCGACCTGGCCGCCTGGGCCCCCCTTCCCGACCTGCCCGTCAAGGTCTACCCGCCTGATGGGCCCGGCTGGTTCTGCAACGTGGTTTCTGCTCCTTGCCCCCCTCCCGCTGATCTCGTGCTCCATCCTTCTCCCTCCGCCTTTCCATCCGTCCTTTCTTCCCCTGTTTCAGGGGCTGAGCAGAAAACGCGCAGCAGGTAAAGACGATTTGCCCCAGAGGTGGTATACGATCGGAGACGAAGAGGGCGGGTACCGAAAGTTTGGGACATACGTGATGAATGAATGGCGCGCGAACAGGTATGAGCAATCCGTATTCGAATGAATGTTGTTGGCGGTGGTGGTGTTTTTGGTGGTGGTGTTGTTGGTGGTGTTGTTGTTGTTGCTGTTGTTGTTGTGGTTGCGTTCCCATGTTTGAAAAATATATACTTGCTGACCCCCCAAAAGGTGCAAGTGGTGCGATTCAAATAAATATTCCACCCCGGCCGGCACCCTTGTCTTATGTTGTTGTCGTTTCTTGCTATTGTTTTACAGGGGCGGACTTCGCGCTCGAACTGGGCCCCTCGCCCCCGAGTTAAAACAGCAGCTGCTCCCGCCACATATTTCCTCACAGTGGATAGTCAGATCGCGCTCGCGCGGGACTTCCCCAAAATGTCTGCAGACATCGCGCTCATATGTGGGATGTCCTCATATGTTTTTCAGACGCCGCGCCGTGGTCACTCAGGAATCACACTCTCGCCCTGGCCTTTTCTCGAGACTTCCTCGCAATTCATGCAAGACTCACGTTTCAGCAACTTGCCTGCTCGAGCTGGCGGCCTGGGCCCGCCTTCCCGACCCGCCTGTTAGGGTCTACCCGCCGCCTGTTTGGGTCTTATCTGGCCTAGCCCAAATTGTAAGTGGGTCACAGGTGCCCTATGTGGCCCGGGATAGCGAGGGGACTCCCACAAGTGGGCTCCGCCCACTTCGCCCAAACCTGTGCGCCCTCAGGCCACTTCGGGCACGTGGAACCCACTACTGCTAAGCTGGGGCGGGCTGGATCGAACCCCCCTTGGCATCCACTTGTGCCCCCCTGGCTTCTTAGCACCCCCCGCGCCGATCCAGGTAGGACCATGAATCGGCGGCGAGTCTGGGGAGGAACGGGGCGCACGAGGGCAGATTCGTACGATGTGCCCGCCTCGGAGGCGTGCGTCCGACCCGAGCATCGATCGGGAGCGACCAGGAGGGGGGCTCCAAGAGGGGGGGGTGCAAATCATGACCGGCGGCATGTGCGCGGCCCAGCGGGAGGGTCAGGGACGTCATGAAACGAGACGAGGCGCCATGAGATCTGGAGAAATATCATGGCCCCCGGCATGATATCCACCTCTCCCCCTAGTCATCACCCCCCTCTCTGCCGCCCCCGAGCATCGGGTGTGACCATCTCGTGGCGTGCCGTTCCCTGGGCGGTACGGCGCCAGAGCGCCCGCCACGGCGAACGTACTGTCAGATTTCTCGGTGCGCGCGCCCCCCCTGGGGAGGCGAAGCACACATAGTATTGTGAAGGGGCCCTGGGACACACACACACACACAAACAAACAAACAAGCAAACAAACAGACACACATAACAGGATTCCCCGTCTGTTCCTGTATTGTCTGTTTTTGTTGTCTTCCCCCCACTTCCCATAGTTTCCACATTTCCTCGGGAATCGACGATGAATTGTGTCTCTGTGTGTGTGTGTGTGCGTGTGTGTGTGTGTGTTTGTGTGTTTGTGTTTGTGTGTTTGTGTGTTTGTGTGTGTGTGTGTGTGTGTGTTGTGTGTGTGTGTTGTGTGTGTGTCTGTGTGTGTTGTGTGTGTGTGTGTGTTTGTGAATGTGTGTGTGTGTGTCTGTGTGTGTGTGTCTGTGTGTGTTGTGTGTGTGTGTTTGCGAGTGTGTGTGTGTGTGTGTTGTCCCTCCTGATATGAGTATGCTGGGATGCCGCCGAGGGAAAGGAGACGGGGCGGGCCTCCTCGGAGGCTCGAACGTCCCCCGGCCTTCTCCGAGAAGCTTCTGAGCCTGCCACGAAGGCACAACACAACCTCAGAGGCCCGAGGGCTGCTGGGAAGCCCCGCCACCTTCTGAGAAGGGCTTCTCCTCATCACTCCCCCCCCCCTCCGCCCGCCGCCGACATGGAGTAGGAAGGCGCTGGAAGTACGTAGGTTGGGTTTCCGCCCGCCCCCCAAAAATGAGGGAAGATGGAAAGCCACTCGACCCGAGAAATGGGGAGGCGCCTAAAGTAGATTGGAATCGGAGGATCCAGAAATGCCTGCGTTCAACGACCGACGGGTATCGTTCAACCGACCCCTGTCCCCATCCCCATCCCGGGCCCGACGATCTCAGCACCCAAGTTCCCCATCCCCTGAGCCCATCCCCCGTTGATCAGGGAGACGCAAGATTCGGGTTCGGGGCACTCGGGTTGGCTGGACGGAGCCGCCAGAAAAATGACGAGGCCCAGCCTGACGTTCGGGGCGACATCGAGGCGCAAACATCCCACGACAATGGGGCCGCCCAAACTCAGGACGGGCCCGTCAGAAAGCGCACCCAAAATCCAGTAATAGAGGGAGGGGGGTCGCAACCCTGGCAATCGAACAGGTTCAGGCACCGCCGGGTCTGGCCAGGAGAGAACGACCGTCTGCCAAGACCCTCGGGGACCATCCGAGCGACAGCTCAAATCGGACCCCCTGCCCCAAATCGGACCCCACCCCTCCCTTAATTTCAAAACTGGCAGAGGCAAGCCCGATTTCTGGCGAGCTCGAGTTTTAGTGGAGACCCATGCCTAGAAACACCCTGCTTGCCTCCAGGGTGCCCTGGTTGTCTTGGGTTTCGATGGCTCTGCTATGGAAAGCGCGATGCTCCCACACCAAAAATCAATGGACGCCCTGGGATCTCAGGGCTGGGTCTCTTGCGCAAGGTCTCTGAAGGTTTCTGGTGGTCGAGCGCCTACTGTACGCTTCCCCCATGTGAGCAGCGCTGACCCAAACGCGCCCGCCCCCGACCCAAACCCCCGCTGCGGCGGGGCAAGCCTTCCCTCGGCGCCGCCGCGGCATGGGCCAACCCGATTTCCGGCTAACTCGGAGTCTTTCTTACCCTTCCCCCCTCCCGCCATCGCTCGGACGTCAACTCCCCGTGCGTTTTTCGGCCTCGTGCGTCCACATTATTCGCAAGAGGACCCCAAAAAGGCTCCTCGATGGTCCTCGCCGAGGAACAGTGCACACGTCCGAGCGATGCCAGGCCATTCAAACAGCACTGCCCCCGACGCTCGCCCCCGATGACAAGGCTTCCTCCTCCTCCTCCTCCTCCTCCTCCTCCCCCTCCTCCTC